GACCACGACGACGACGACAACGACGACGACGACGACGACGACGACGACGACGACGACGCGACGACGACGACGACGACGACGACGACGACGACGACGACGACCACGACGACGACCACGACGACGACGACGACGGCCAGTGCCTCGGCGGGTTCCCGAACTTCAAGATGGGCAGCCGCGCGTGGCACTTGAGGCGGTTCGCGTTGCGGTCGCCAGGTGTTCAAAGCTGTGATCCTGAGGGGTGCGGGTCTGAGGGCGAGGGGGAAAGGTGGCGCGGCGTGCCGCCTTTCCCCCTCGACCTTGGGCCCACGCCCCTTAAGACCACATCATGTGAACCACTCAGGCAGCTCCCGGCGGAGGTCCTCGACGTCCCTGGCTGCCCTGGCGGTAGGGTGCTGGCGGAGTGACGGGCTGTGGGCCCGCGAGGCTGAAACCGATGAGGGGGGGGGGGATCCTTCCCCCACGCCGCCGCCGCCGCCGCCGCCGCCGCCGCCGGTCTGTCGGTCTGTCGGTCTGTCGGTCTGTCGGTCTGTCGGTCTGTCGGTCTGTCGGTCTGTCGGTCTGTCGGTCGGAGTCGGAGTCGGAGTCGGAGTCGGAGTCGGAGTCGGAGTCGGAGTCGGAGTCGGAGTCGGAGTCGCGTCGTCGTCGTCGTCGTCGTCGTCGTCGTCGTCGTCGGCGTCGTCGTCGGCGTCGTCGAGGCCCCGGCCCCGACAGGAGCGCCCGCTGGAGAGCTGCTTTTTCGAGTGTGCAGCGAGGGGCGCGACGATAACCGCGCTTCGCGCATGGCGCGGCGCGGCCGAGGCCAGAGCGCTGCCTTCTCGCAGGTGGCCTCTCGAACTCTGGAACTCTCGAACTCGAGGAGGAGGGGGAGGAGGAGGAGGAGGAGGAGGAGGAGCAGGAGGAGGAGGAGAGGAGGAGGAGGAGGAGAGGAGGAGGAGGAGAGGAGGAGGGAGGAGGAGAGGAGGAGGAGGAGGAGAGGAGGAGGAATAGGAGGAGGAATAACAATGGGACAATGGGAGGGAGGAGGAGGAGGGCCCCCCTTGCTCACTTATTATTCGCCTCCTCGCCCGTCGCCCCCCACCCCACGCTCCTCCATCTCTTCCTTTTCATGCGATCGATCCCTTGATCTGGTCAGAGGGGCCAGTTGAATCGTCCTATTGGGATTGTGCATGTGTGTCCTAGCAGAGGTAGGCTCCTCCTTGCCTCCTGCACCGTCTGGCGGTGCCTCCTGCACTGTCTGGCGGCGCCAGGCCCCGGCAGAGGCAATTAGTCAATAATTGCGCTTTATTGAGCGCCGCTCTTTGTTTGTAGATTTGCTGCGCAGCGCACCTTCGCCTGAGGTCCTGGTGAAGCGAGCGATGCGGCGCCCGCGCGTCAGAACACTTCTCAATTCTAATGATCGGTGCAGTGGCCGAAGAGATGGGGGGAGGCCGGGTCACCAGCGCGGCTGTTCCCCGCCGTGGGTGCTTGGCCGGGTAGGCCCCAGCAACCCCGCACAACACTTGGTGAGAAATGAGACGTGTTCAGAGTAGGCCCTAGGTTAGGTTAGGTTAGCCCGTTCCAGGCGAACGTTGGCCCTAGGTTAGGTTAATTAGGTCCTGCGCAATTGCGCTTCGGATCAGGAATTCGGGGCATGATGTGCGTTCGAGTGCGCCTCGTCGTCGGCCCCAAGATGCATCGAATATCGTCATCCACAATCGTTAATCGTCCGTCATCGCCGCATCTTCAACGTCCGTCATCGCCGCTTCGTCATCGTCCGTCATCGCCGCTTCGTCATCGCCATCGTAACCCTTCGTCGTCGCTGGTCAAGCATCACGGCCGATGGTCGCATCAGAGTGCGTCGTTGCAGGTGCATTGCGTTGCGTTGCGTTGCAAGTGCATTGCATGGGCGTTCAGAGTTCGTTGTATTGTGCATTGCATGGCATTGCGTTGCAAGTGCGCGTGCGTGGCTGCATTGCATGACAGGCCCTCGGGGGGAAAATCGGCCGTGGCGTCGCTCAAGCACATGCGAGGCCAGTAATCACCCCGCCACTCTCGGCGGCCTGCCCCCATCATCTGGTTATGTGTGGGGAAGGGTCGGGGGGGGGGCTGCTGTGAGCAGACCACCTACGCCCAGAGGGCTCATGGGACTCAACATGTGCCAAGATGGCCCGTCCAGGTCTGGGAAGCAGGGGTAGGGGGAGGGGGAAGGGGAAGATGAGTCAAAGGCGTCGAGCGTGGGGTCAGGGGTGCGCCGCGCGAGGTCAGCATGGACGGATCGCGGGTCAGCAACGAGGCTGTCGAGATGCTGTACGCCTTCAGCCCGCAGCACAAGTTGGGCTTCCACCTGCCCTTACAGGTGGGGGGGGGGCGTCGTAGAGGGGGCAGCGGGCATGGACTGTGAGCATGGACTGCCCCCTTCCCTCCTGCGCCCGCACCCCTTTCCCGGGCCCCATCCTTAGCCACCATCACGCTCATCTCCCTGGACTGCCAACAGTAATCGCTGGGAGCCTGGGCAGGCGCGCTCCTCCTTCGCCTTTCATCGTCGTCGTCGTCGTCGACCTCCTCCTCCTCCTCGTCCTCCTCCTCCTTGGCGTATCCTCCTCCTCTCCCCCCTGGATTCCTCCTCTTCCTCGTCATCCTTCCCCTCCTCGCCCCCCTCTTCCACCTCCTCACCTCCTCGCCCTAGTGCTCTTAGTCTCCCTCGCTCCTGCCTCCCGTCTCCCCTGCCTCCAGCCTCATTCCCTACCTAGGCTCTGCCTAGAAAAGGTTCTTACTCTCTTTACTTAAAGGGGCCGGGCAGTGGCGCGCGCCCCGGGCGGTTCCCCCGGCATCCGCCCCGCGGTTCCGCCCCCTTAGCTGAGCGTTGCTTATCTCACCTTAGCTTAGCTTAGCTTCATCTTAGGTTCGCGTAGCGCTACCTTAGCTTAGCTTGGCTTAGCATAGCATAGCGGAGCATAGCATAGCATAGCATAGCATAGCGCAGCATAGCATAGCATAGCATAGCGCAGCATAGCACAGCATTGCGCAGCATAGCACAGCATAGCATAGCATAGCGCAGCACAGCATAGCAAACCATAGCACAGCGCAGCGTAGCACAGCATAGCATAGCATAGCTCTAGCATAGCATGACATAGCATGGCATCGCATAGCATAGCATATCAGCAAAGCAAAAGCAAAGCAACAGCAGCAACAGCAAAGCAAACCACAAGCAACGCAAAGCAAAGCAAAATCAAAAGCAAAGCAAAAGAAATGCAAAGCAACAGCAATGTGCGAGAGATGCCGAGGTATCCTCGATGGCTGGACCGGAGCCCCCGCAACCTGGAGGCCCTGCCAGCATAGCATAGCATATCATAACACAAAGCGTGGCCAGCATAGCCAAGCATAGCATAGCATAGTGCTGCTTTCCTGAGGCCTCCAACTCCTAGGTAGGGTCGCACTGGGGTTACCCTCGTCCACGCCATCCCCCCCTTCTCTTGACTGCAGCCATCCTGGTCCAACCGCCACTCGAGAAGGTGTTGGTCGTGGTTTCTTGCTCCAGACTTGAACTGCTGGCATGTGGCCCGGCGCCCCTGCGCCGCCGCCGCCGCATCCTGGCGGCGCGCCCCCGCCGCCGACACAGCCACAGCTGCAGCAGATTCCTGTTGGCGCCTACCCCGGCGGCGCCCCACCGCCGCCGCCACAGCAGCTGGTGCTGCACCAGCAGCAGCAGCCGCAGCAGATGCCAGGTGGGCCCATGGGCATGCCTATGCCTGGCCTTGCCCCCATGATGAATATGCCTGGAATGCAGACGATGAGCTACATGTCAGCCGCGGGAATGCCGCCCGTGGGGCAGGTCCAGCCCAGGGGGCGGGGCCAGGGCCACACCAGGGGGAGGGCGTCGAGCAGCGGCGAGGGTAACCCGCCCCGCCGCGCGCGGAAGACCAGCGCCAGCGCGCTCCCCGCAGGGCAGATGACATACGGGACGCTTCCACTGTGGGACAAAATGACCCTCCTCGAAAAGTGCGAGCGCACGGACTTCAACAAGATTGCGCTGGATGGCCAACCAGAGCACATGATAACAGCAGCGCTCCTGATGGCAGTGGGGAAAGGATACCACGACAAGGTGCCCGACAGCGACCGGCATGCGTGTGAGGAGAGCGTGTTGGGCCGCTACAAGCAGTTGAACGAGCCGCTCAAGGGGCTCACCCTGGAGAAAGCCTATGCCAAATGGGCGCAACAGAATTCAGCTTCCACGACTGGGGTGGCTTACTCGATCCACGTTGACACCTCGAGCAACCGCCAGTATATTTGGAATGGCGTGGTGAGTCGCTTCCTCGACGGGGTGGGCTGGGCGCTGCACATTGACCACAGCGGCAAGGCCTTCATCTCCAACGGCGTGCAGTCCCAGTGGTGCGAGGTCATCTTCCAGGACACTTTGGCTTAAACGCAAACATGATTATGAAAATGAGGAGGGAGGACGAGGACGAGGAAGAGGAGGAGGAGGAGGAAGGAGGAGGAGGAGGAGGAGGAGGAGCGAGGGATGAGGGACGATGAGGAGCGAGGGATGATGATGATAATGATGATGGGGAGGAGGAGGAGGAGGAGGAGGAGGAGAAGCGAGGGATGAGGGAACAGGAGGTCCTCCCAGCCCGGCCGAGTCCGACGCGACCCTCCTAGGATCCTCCTCCAGTGAGGGCCCAATCCCCTCAGCCCTCTTCCTCGCCGCCTCCGCAATCTTCTCAGCTGAGGGTTTCCCTCCCCCTCGCTTCTCCTCATCCTCCTCCACCACCTCCTCCTTCTCCTCTTCTTCTTCTTCCTCCTCCTCCTCCTCCTCGTCCTCCTCGTCCTCCTCCTCTTCCCTCCCCCCATCCTCCATTCAACTCCTCCTTCTCCTCCTCCTCATGCGCCTCCCTCCTCCTCCTTCCAGGTCCTCTTCAAGAACCTCATTCCCCATTCCCCATCCTGCTCGTCCTCCTTCCCCTCCTGCCTGCCAGGACACGTTGGACCCTCACAAGTACGCCGTCACGCTGTCCGGGCAGTCGATGGCCTTGGGGGCTGCGAGGGGCGTTGCGTCGCAACCGTCGCTGCCGGCCCCGCCCGCGGCCGTGCCCACAGCGCAGCCCGTGCCGGCGCCAGCCCCGTTGCCGCCAGCGCCTGGGCCGCAGCCACCGGCGATGGCGGCAGCGAGCGCCGCCCCGAAGCCCGAGCCCCCGCAGCCAGCGCAGCCGCCCGAGCCCCCAGCGCAGCCAGGGCTGCCCGGCCCCCCCGCCCTGGAAAACAAGATCTACTTCAGCTCCGAAGGCAAACCCTACGCGGTGAACGTGCGCAGTGGCCGCTCGCGCTGGTTGCACAGGAGCAATTCTGGGGGATGTGACGACTGGGAAGTGTTCCGGAGCTCGGGGAGATGCACGACGACGACGACGACGACGACGACGACGATGACGACGACGACGACGACGACGTCGTCGTCGTCGCCGTCGTCGTCGTCGACCTCCGGGGTCCAACCTCATCGCCACGTCCAGTGTCCCCCCACCTTCACCTCTAAGCTTTGAGCTCCCATCCGATCAGGGGTCTCGACGACGGCGACGACGACGACGACGACGTCTTCGCGATTCCCCTGAGGAGCAGCAACGGGAGCGAGTACATAGCGAGCCGCGGGCAAATGGTGCCAAGCGTCTGGTGCTCTGAGCTGATGAAGCCCCCGGCCCCGCCACCGCCGAGCAAGCGCGAGGAGGAGGAGGAGGAGGAGGCCTCTGCGGACGGCGAGCCGCTTAGCGAGGACAACGTGGAGGAATCGAAGGAACCCCAAGATGAGCCTGCTTCTGACGCGGCTGCTGAGCGTGCCCCAGTCGTGCCTCCTGAGCCTCCTGCTGAGTCTAAGGCGCCTCCTGAGCCTCTTGCTGAGTCTAAGGTGCCCCCGCCAGGAGAGCCCGAGGCGCCGCCCCCGCCAGGAGAGTCTAAGTCTAAGGCGCCGCCCCCGCCGGCGGCCCTGCCAGGAGAGTCCGAGGCGCCGCCCCCGCCGTCCCTGGCTGAGCCCGCGGGGCCGCCGCCGCCACCCGCTCCAGAAGGGGTGCCGGGCCAGGACCTGCCCAGCCAAGGCCCGCCCGGGCCGGCACCTGCGGACCTGGCGAATGCCAAGGGCCCCCCGCCGGGCAAGAGCTCGGGGCCGAGGCAGGCGCAGATCGCCAGCTGCTTTCTGCTAGCCAAAGAGAAAGCAGCAGCTGCGGGCAAGAGCTAAGTAGACAGCATTAGGAGCTCCAGCTGGTGATTGATCTCCCAGGTCAAACGGGGCTGAGAATACAATGCTATGGTTCTTCGCGCGCCCCCACTGGCCCATCCAGAAACGATGTCATGGAGAGGCGAGGTCTTGGCAATGGAGCCCTCTTGGAGCACGGCGACAACGACGACGACGACGACGACGACGACGCGACGACGACGACGACGACGACGACGGGGTGCCTCACCCCAAGCACTGCGTCTTAAAATTCAGCTACCCGCCCCCCCGCTGGCCTGTACATCACTATCACTGGCGCTGGGCTCCATGCGCAGAACGTCGTCGTCGTCATCGTCGTCGTCGTCGTCGTCAGCGTCGTCAGCGTCGTCAGCGCCGTCAGCTTCGTCAGCGTCAGCGTCGTTCGTCGTCAGCGTCGTCAGCGTCGTCAGCGGCGTCGTCGTCGTCGTCGTCGTCAGCGTCAGCGTCGTCGTCGTCGTCGTCGTCAGCGTCGTCAGCGTCGTCAGCGTCGTCGTCGTCGTCGTTGTCAGCGTCAGCGTCAACGTCGTCGTCGTCAGCGTCAGCGTCGTCATCATCGTCATCAGCGTCGTCAGCGTCGTCGTCGTCGTCGTCGTCGTCGTCGTCGTCGTCGTCGTCTTGATCGGATTCCACACAAAGCGCTGGAGCTCCTGGGGTTATGATTTTAATGAGTCGGTGACTCAGCGCGCGCGGCAAGGCAAGGCCGGGCCGCGCGCGCCTGCAGCACGTCGTGGTCGAGCGTCTTCTTCCCTGTGCTGCGCCGGCCGCGCATGTTTACATCGGGAGGTCAGGGAGGGGAGGAAGGAGGGAGGAGGAGGTGGGCCTCAGCTCAGGCAACAGACAGGCGCCGTCAGCCCGAAACCCGAGGAAAACAATGTTCGGAAAGTTGTTGTTACGATGTTGTCGCATGCTCACTGATACTGGATGGCTACGGCGCCACGGAGTCCTAGGCATCAGATGGCCAACCCTGCTGGGCGAGGAGGAGGAGAGGAGGGGGATGAGGAGGAGGAGGAGGAGGAGGAGGAGGAGGAGGAGGAGGAGGAGGAGGGAAGAGGAGGAGCACGAGGGGAAGGGGGGGGAGGAAGGAGGGCCATGAGGAAGAGGAGGAGGGAATCCCGCTGAGCTCAAGGATGGGGGCTCCGGGAGGAGCCGTGGGGACCTGGACCTCAGGAGGAATGCCAGGGGGCGGGGGCCAAGGGCTGTTCGATTTGGGTTCGGGGACAAGCTTGCCAGCCTGCGGCCCAGGGCGCAGGGGCTCGGGCCATGCGGGTCCCAAAGAAGGCAAAGCGGCTGGCAGGGTCCCCTCCTCTCCCTCCTCAGTCGCCCTGCCCCCCCCCCTCCCCCCCTGCCCCATCCAGCCCCTGCCCTCCCCCCCATCCCCCTGCCCCCTGCCCCTTCCCCTGCCCCATCCCCCTGCCCTCCCCCCCCTCCCCCCGCCCCGTCCGTGTGCCGCTCGCTAATTATAATAGGTTTTTAATATATTATAATAGGTTTTTAATATATTATAAGTTTGCGGGGAATTCGGGGATGTCTCGCGCCAGAGCCCCCGGAAGCATTTGACCCCCAAGGGCGGTGTTGTAAGACATCAAGGGGCCGCGCCGGAAGAACCTGACCCCCTCCCCGTTCGAGACATCCGCGCCGCCGGAAAACGTTGACCCCCTGATCTTGGCCGCCGGAAAACGTTGACCCCCTCCGTTTCTCGAGCGTGAGCGTTATCGGACCCCGTCGGGTACAGTGTATCTAGCACGCGGAAGGCTCAAAACCCTAGTAAAAGCAATGATTCGGAGCCCATATAACCATTCAAAACTCGAACGGGAACTCTATTTTGAATCTCTTGGACCCCTCCCAGACGAGGCTGGGAATCGAGTTCTGAGACGCTTGGACCCCTCCCAGACGAGACGTCTTGGGCCCCTCCCAGACGAACGAGGGCCCCTCCCTTCGGGTGCCGGCCTTGTTTGTCGTCGTCGTCGTCGTCGTCGTCTCCGTCGTCGTCGTCGTCGTCGTCGTCGTCGTCAGCGTCGTCAGCGTCGTCGACGACGACAAGGCCGGCGCCCTCCCAGACGAGACGTCTTGGACCCCTCCCAGACAAGATCTGTTCCCTTCTGAATTTGAAGGATGAGAGGAGAACAATGATGAAGGAGGAAGGAAGAATGAAAGACGAATGATGAGGATGAGAAGGTCAGGAGGACGCAGGAGGATAAGCGAAGGTCAGGAGGAGCAGGAGAGGAGGTGAGCAGGAGGAGGTGAGGAACGTGAGAGGGGCCTTAGGAGGAGCAGCAGGCGGCAGTGGCAGCAGCAGCAGGGGTAGCACAAGGAGGGCGGGCTGACCAAGAGCAGGGATATGGCCAGTGAGCAGGTGACGCGCGCCTTGAGCTCCACGATGACCGACCGCATCACTGACGACGAGCGGCGACAGCTCCTGCTGGCCAGGCTGGGGACCGGGGCGGGGATGGGCTTGTAGCTCGTTGTCGTCGTCGTCGCCGTCGTAGTGGTCGTTTCCGCTTCCGCCGTCGTCGTCGTTCGTCGTCGTCGTCGTCGTCGTCGTCGTCGTCGCCGGAGGCGGAGGCGGAGGATGAGGAGGAGGAGGAGGAGGAGGAGCATCTGAAATTGACGACGACGACGACGACGACACGACGACGACGACGACGACGACGACGACGACGACGACACACGACCACGACGTGATGGTGGTGGTGGTGGTGGTGGTGGGCGCGTCGTCGTCGTCGTCGTCGCGTCGTCGTCGTGGTCGTCGTCGTCGTCGTCGTCGTCGTGTTCAGATGCTCCTCCTCCTCCTCCTCCTCCTCCTCCGCCTCCGGCGACGATCTATTGAAAGGAACAACAACGACGACGACGACGACGACGACGACGTTGACGACGCTGATGACGCTGACGACGACGACGAACGACGCTGACGCTGACGACGCTGACGACGACAACGACGACGACGACGACGACGACGCTGACGACGCTGACGACGACGACGACGCTGACGCTGACGCTGACGACGACGACGACGACGACGCTGACGACGCTGACGACGACGACGACGACGACGCTGACGCTGACGGCGACGACGACGACGACGACGACGCTGACGACGCTGACGACGCTGACGACGACGACGACGAACGACGCAGACGCTGACGACGCTGACGACGACGACGACGACGACGACAACGCTCATCACCGTGGACATGGTCGACCTGCGTCCCTGGACTTGGTGGGCCATGCGGGCGCCTGCGTGCGACCTGCGTCCCCGGACTTGGTCATTGGTCGCGCGGTGGCAACTGCATGCGGTGGTGGAGGCAGCGCCGTGCGACGACGACGACGACGACGACGTCGATGACGACGCTGACGACGCTGACGACGCTGACGACGACGACGACGCTGACGCTCACGACGACGACGACGACGACGACGACGACGACGTCATGCCCGGAGGCCTTGCCAGCATAGCATAGCATAGCATGCCACAAAGCGTGGCCAGCATAGCCAAGCACAGCATAGCATAGTGCCGCTTTCCTAAGGCCTCCAACTCCTAGGTAGGGTCGCGCGGGGGTGATTGTTTTAATGCATTGTGGCACCCAGTCCTTTCGAGCCACGCGACGCGAGGAGCCCCCCCACGAACGGAGAACTCAGGCACCCTGGCATCCGTGCCTCAAGATCCCCCCAGCCAGGCGCTTTAGCATCCTTGTCTTAAGTGACATGGTCTTGCACCCTTACCCATGGGCTTGCATCCTTACCCGTGGGCTTGCATCCTTACCCATGGGCTTGCACCCTTACATATGGGCTTGCACCTCTGGCACTCTGGTGCCCAATGGCCTTGCATCCTTACCCATCCGTAGGCGTTTCGGCTCAAGGTGGGCTCGAATAAATATGCAACGGTTGCCTTGGGACGACCCTAGCGATGAGAGATATGATCCCAGGTGGAACCCAATAATAAACGACTGGGTGTTTCCATGGTTTCCCGCAGAAGGAGGGGTCGAATGGGTCATCGCCCCCGTGTGGAAGTACCGTTACGACGAAAGAGCGCGCCTCCAGCAGCCCAGCAGCGAAGTCAACGATGGCGCG